TGTTTTTATTATATACCAGAGGCCTGGTGCACAAATTCATGCACGGGTGGGGTCCGGCTGGTGGGGGGCTGATGGGGAGGGGGTGGCCAGAGGGAGGGGCCACAGGCGGTTGGTGGCACAGCCTGGCCCCCTGGTCAAACTCCAAGTCAAACTCCCAGTCAAGGAGACAATTTGAATATTAACCTTTTAGTATATAGTATTATTATTTGATGTTTTAGTTTAATAAAAAATGGATATATGTGTATGTGTGTGTGTGTGTGTGTGTGTATAAAACTTTCCACACAAAAAGTCTATAGACAGCTATTTATCTCATATCACTTTAAAAATGAAACCAATGTGTTAATGATGTCTCCCTAGATTTTCCTTATATATTTTTCTGTATCATTTTTTACTTGAAGGAATTTATAAGCTCTATAAAGACAATTATAAAAACAAGAAAAAAAATCCGTGGTTGACAGGAGTTTGGTGGGAGGGAGGGATGAATAGATGGAGCATAGACCATTCTCAGGGCAGTGAAATTGTTCCGTATGATACCACAATGGTGAACACGTCATTATGCATGTGTCAAAACCCATAGACTGCACAACACCAAGAGTGAACCCTAATGTAAATAAACTATGCAGTTTAGGTAATAAAGATGAGTCGGGGTAGGTTCATGATTGTAACAAATATACCGCTGTGATTAGGGATGTTAATAGTGGGGGAGGTTGTGCAAGCATGGGACCAAGGGGAATATGGGAACTCTCTGTACTTTCCACTCATTTTGCTGTTTTAGGTTCACAGACATAAAAATATTAAGTCTATTAAAATTTAAAAGGGCAATTATAGGCTAAGATTTAATGTTTTACATTTTATCTGATTAAGGAAATGTGATCTGAAGACTAAAGCACGAATTTAGGGATAAATCAGAGGAACATGTCAAATTGTGAACTTAATTCTTTTAGGAAAGAGTCCCTATAATTTTTCAGTGGTGAAAAATTACTTTCAGTGCTCTTACTTAGGTGCTTTCTTGACAGGTTTTCAATGTAGTTTTATTTAAAACTAGTGGCCTGGTGTATGATATTTGTGCAGATTGAAAGGGAATTAATTAGAGAAATGTAACTTTGTTTTGCCATCAACACAGTAAGGACTCTAATGGGATTTCTCCTCTTTACTTCATAGGTATACCCTGAGGATGGATGAATCTTTATGCTAAAACGGTTCTCGTTTCTTTGATAAAAGGCACTTTATAAACCAATCACAGATCCATGTCTTTTCCACCTTATGTTTTGTTACAGTTACACAGGAAGAATGGAGAAGCCACAATACAATAGAAATAGAGATAAATCAGACTCTGAAAATACCATGCCTTCAAAATATCTCCTCGGGAATTTCATCTGAGTTCACCTTTGCATGGTTGGTGGTAAGTGCTGCCCTTTTCAGTGAATACCTGCAATGATCTTTAAATATTAATGATATAAAGATGAATAACAAATA